CAAACCCCTATATATATATATATATATATATATATTCTCTTCTTATTAAGATTAAAGTTGAGTTTGATTTACTTTATATTATTTGTTAGACTCATTAAAACACATCCAAAACTCCAAGTAGTGGGATTCATGTGTCAAGAAGTGAGTGAGTGTCTCAGTTAGTTGAGAACAGGTGGCTGCAGGAGAGTGGTCGTTTATTTTGGGCGACGGCAGTATTTAAGGTCGAATTTCAAATGTCGTGTCACTTCTCTGCATGCATTTCTTCTTCCCCACCCTGCTGAAACCATTTTCTCCTTCTTCTCTCTAAAATCTCCTCCTTCTCTCTAAGAAATCTTAACCATTTCTTCTTCCGATCACCTCTCAGGCACCGTTGGAACACTCCCGGCGTCAAGAGCTTCCATTTAAACCGGTCGGTGTATGATTCTGAGCCGGTGAGTTTCTTTCTCTCTAGTACGTTCGTTTAAGTCTTGCATGCAACCCTCTATTTCTGGTCGCCTGAGTAGATAGTATAATTCTGAGTGTTTATGGTTTTTCTGTTTGGTTCAGTGCTCCTAAAACGGGAGTGTTGAACGTTAGTTCTTTGGTAGATGGGAGCTCTATTCTGCTTCCTTGAGCGTTCGGTTACGTATAAAGGTAAGGGAAGCTTATATAATTTGATTAATATTCTTGTTTGAACGTTGGTATGTTTGCATGATATGTTGTTTGGATTATTGGATGAATATGAAATATGTACGTACCGCTTGTTTGGATGTTTGTATAGATGACTGATATATGTTATGAATTGAGTTGAGATAGGACTTGATATTCAAACTGTGGTATTCTGAGTAAAGGTGGTAATATGGTCGAGAGTGGTTAACGAGCGTTCGATTCTTCTTAGGAGTACATGGTGTTACCTGAGTTTCATGTCTTGGGGATAGAATCTAAGAGTTTTCATGTAATACTATATAGGATTTGTTAAACTTTGACCAAGAGTTCGTATTAACCATTCTGGTTCCCCTTTGAGCGTCCGTCTATATTAAGTTCTTCTTTAGACTTCCTAAACAGCTTAGTAAATGTGTTATATATATTACTTACGGTCGTAAACGTTATCGTTCTTTTTCATTTAGAATAAGTGATGGTTCAATTGTGTGTGTGTGTGTGTATATATATATATATATACACACACACACACATATATTCCTTCGTTTTTGTAAGTTTATTAGTGATCGGTCTTGGACCAAGTGTTTAGTCTCAATAGCGCTCGTTCAATAGTATTCGGTTTCTACAGGGCTCGGTCTTAAACCAAGCGTTGGGTCTTGTTTTCTATAATATATATTATTAGCGGGTTTAGAATGAGAGTCTTCATTCAAACTCTATAACGTTCGTTACTCATAGTTTCTCATCAGTATTAATATCGTGCGTCAAACAGTGTTGGTCTTTAGAAGGTATTTGGCCTAGAGTCTTAGTACTCGGCCTAGTCGTGAAGTCCGTTTTGAACTCTTAGTGGTTTGTTTATTTAAGTTAATAAGTAACGCCCAGTCACATTAGTTTCTAAGAAGTGTTATTCCAGTCGAATTTATGAGATAATGAGAGAGTGTGATCGTATTTCAGTCGAATGTGTTAATGATTGATTTTAATGGAGTTTGACATGTGATGTGAATGAAATAGCGTGATTATGAACGAGTATTCCAGGGAGAAATATCTCAGGAAGTGATTATTGATTGGTAAAGTATGAATGTGGGCAAAGCTTAGCGGCCATAATCGTATATCGTTCTGTGGAGAACTGATCTGTATTATTATTAAGATGTGATGACTCTCATATATGGTTTTACATGTATTTTTGGGATGTTAAGTTATCTATGTAATAATGTAATTAATATTATATCTGGATTAATCAAATCATTTCATCAATTGTTGAAAATTATTCTAACAATAGTTAAAGTAAATTTCAATATTAGTTTAAAATTTAAGTTTGAACCTAACTTAATTCTAAAAGAATAATTTAAACAATAAAATACTCAAATTATGTTATTTTGTAGAAATTTTATATATTAATTTAATCATGACACTTCAGACTTGTTTATATAGTACAAGAAAAAAAAATTAAGAGACTAAAATAATTTATTTTCTTACAACATAAAAGAAATTGAGCTTAAGTCGATACATAAAATAATGAGACTTTGATAACCAAGTTTATGTAAACAAGTGTAAGCAGTTATTACTCAGGAACAACATACTAAAAGCAAACACCCTAAAAAAGTGAACAAGATACGTAAATATTGCAATTTAATACTCTGTACACACAGCACGTAATAAAATAAAATATTACAGTACAAAATAATTATATTTAAACTAGTAAAATATAAAGTTGAATAAACGTTTAATTTTTTTAATAAAATAATGTTTTAAAGAAATTTGTAAGCCAAGTCAAATTTTATACAAAAAGAATTGTATTTATTCTTAATGTTCACAATAAAATCAGAGTTTTCTATCAACGTAACTAGATTGATTAGTATAAGTAAAAATAATTTATTCTTCTGAACCAACTAATATCAAATTCTAATGATATTGCTTTAGAAAGACAAAAAATACTAATCACACATAAAATATTTAACGATGTTAATGTTTAATTTCTACAATAAATAATCCGTAGCACTAAATAGCTGTTCATCAAGACAATTTTCCATAGATATAAGGCTCAAATGCTTATCAGCAATGAATTAGGAAAGTCTTCACAATTCACAAGAGTATCATGAAAGACTCATAATCTGGGTTCGAGCTATTAAAATATTGCACGGTGTTCTGATTCAAAAGGCAATATTGTTTACACCCACGTAAATAAAACCTATTCAGTATACAAAGTAAAATTGAGGTAACCTCAATAATAAACAGGACGGGGTTAAAGCTAGGAAATACCAACAAGTTGAGAATACCTATAATGGAAAAGGGTCCCACTCAACAAATATTCATCAATACCTATTATGGAAAGAGACGGCTGCCACCGTAACCATAACCATGGTAAGAGAATTTAGCTGCGGAATGAACCAGATACTTAAACTATGATACTACAACAATGCCTCGTCTTCACCGTCATCGTCTCCAACATTTGATGTTTCCTCCTTATCGTTATCTGACATGTTATTAATTACATCTGTAATTATATCCTTCACCTCTGCTTTTCTATGCATTAAATCCACGTCAAAATGAGTACCTGCCAACATTTCATTACAGAAGAGCCCAGTCCACAAAATCATTTCACACTTCTTAATTGGGGTTAGGGGAGAATTTAGAGAAACAGATCATACCAAGTTGTTTCAGGATATCGGATAAAGTTGCCTGCATCAAGAAATGTAAATAAATAAATATTAAAAAAATCATTATGCTAAAAAACACATGAAATGGCAGAAAAAAAAAACATTACTCACCGTATTGAAATCTACTTTCTTTAAAATATCAACTACCACTCGATGCATTTCATTCTTACTAGGTCCGTCTTCAGCTTTCTCGCTACGTTTACCTTTTCCTGCCAATGACATAAGAATCCAATGGTAAGAATGAAAAAATAAGACAGCACAGGTATACATCATGAAACTATCAGTCATATAAAATTGACATATTTTATGTAATTTGTCCAAGCATAAAACAGTTATATTACAGGATAAAAATTTTCAGGGAAAACTCGAGCAAACGTGATCATAGGTTCCAAAAATACTTTCGAGCAACTAACAACTTATGGCAACTGGCATTAGATTTAGTACAGATGATGTTATCAACTACAATGAGAAAGATCCAACCTCCATCCTTAACTAAAGCCTTTGAAGACTTGTCTGTTCGTTTTTTGTCTGCAACCTTCCTTTTCGAATTCTGGTTTTCCCTTACTGTTTTCTGTTTATTGGAAGTAGACTGCTTGGACTTCGAAGTATTGTCATTACGAGCTATTTTTGAAGTAGATCTTTTTGGAGTTTTTTCATTGCTCTTGGTTGTCTCTACTGTAGTAGTCTTCTTTGCTGGTTCGTCTTGGTCTTCATTCAGAGTCTTCGTCGAAGACCCAGTGTGAGCCTTTTCTTTATCTTCCTCTTTCTCTGACATGTTTTCGTCATCATGATCACTTTCACTTTTTGGAACATCATCTTCCTCAGAATCAACTTCTGCCTCGGAAGGTTCAGATACATCACTCTCCTCGACATCAGAAGACTGCTTTTGCTTTTTCCGAGCTATTGAGGTTTTCTTTTGCTTCTAAAACCAGATTAAATATAAGGAAATAAAACAGAAGAAAAAACATTGTTAAGCATGTTATAACTAATGCAGCAAGCCAGAATGAATTTCAAGTAACAGTATAACAACACACCTTGGCAGGTGTTTCAGATTTGTTTGGGGTTGGCTTTCTGCCCCGCTTTCTACCTTTCTGAAACATAAAACCAAGCTTGAAAAAACTCACGGCAATATAAAAAAGGTCGAACATATAACACCATATTTTTACAACGAATTAAGACTCAGTTACAATAATACAGGGCAGACATCATTACCTAGCTATTTTGATTGATTTAACTGTTGAAATTAAATTATGGTTTCAGAGATCCCAAGTTGAATATGGCGAAATTCAGACAAAATCAGTTTCCAATCACATGGTTCAAATTTCTCAGGTCTGGCACTTGGTTCTTCAATTTGCTAATTTAAGGATACTAGGTTGGAATAAACAATTTAAAATAACACGAATATACTAGTAACAGAGGATAAAGTCAATCACGACTTACAAGAACCTTAATTAATTATTATCCTTATACAATAATGTTGAACAAAATTACCATTTTTTTGTCGGCTAGAAGAACATCAGTTGTAGCATGCGGGGACACCAAAAATTCAAACAACTTCGCAGACAGTTCCTCCTGAAATGCCAATTGATCATAACTTGCTTATAAAGAGCAATTGTTACAATACAAGGATGGAAAAATGTTAGATAAATTTTTACTTTCTTCATAGTGGTCTTATTTATCGGAATATTAAGCACATTACAGAAGTCCACCAACTTTTCTTTCGCACATTTCTCAATCTTCTCCTTTGTCTTTGCTTTCAGTTTTTCCTGCCAAAAAAAATTACGTAACCACAGTTTAAGCAGGTTAATAACAGACTCCGGCATTCAAAATTTGAAGGCAAAATGCACAATTAACCAAAATACATTAACTAACAAAATTTTCAATACAACAACAAATTCGATTAAGATTTATCTGCACAATCAGAAATAAAACACAAGTACAGTATATGATGCAACCATACCTCATTGTCAGTCCACACATAGCCAGAAAACAGTCCTATATTTCTCTTTACTGCGATTGCCTAAACAAAACAAAAAATGTAACTAGTATTCAATGAACAGCCAGTATCCAGTCTTATACTGCCCGTCTCTTAACATAAAAACATAGGCATGAAAAAAAAGAGTCAAATAAATAATGGCAAAACATCTGAAGAACTGAGTTACACCTTTCCCCTTTGCCCAAAGAGTATTTTATGAAGCGCATGCAGGTTCTCGTCAGCTTTTCTCTTTGATAACTTGAAAGCCACTGAAAAGTATAGATGTAAATAACATAAACACGCGGCTTAGAGAAACATGGCATAAAGAATATAAAGCATACTACCAATTTGGAAATCCGTAAAACATCACCACCGAGATAGTGAATGCATAGCAGAATTGAAATATGCAATTCCTCAGTTCACCGTTCACACGTCAAAATGCGTACTTTAAAGAAGAAGAAAAGCCAGCACGGATATTCAATTTTGCATTGCATGAAACAGCGGAAGCACATCTAATTGAAAATTAACAACGTAATCTCAGGGAAAGTTGAAACACATACTTTTCCATAGGAGTGTCTTCATTAAAATTTAGCAATTTGAGGTGATATCCATTGAGCAGATTGTGTTAAATGAACACTATAATATTTGCTATCTTGAGTTTAATTTTTCCAACCTGAATATTCCTGGTTTAAACTTACACTTCACAAACTTTAGCAGAGTTCGGAAAAACATGAATTTAACTTCAAAAACTGTATATCCAATTGCCCAGAGCAAACATTAAAACGAATTCATGCATGGAAGGCATTTTGGGCTCTTAGCAGTAGCTTTGCTTAGGCCCCAGGGGAATTCCAAACAAACTAGTTTACGAAAGGAAGTAGTTTGTGGAGATCTTGGAAGATCATAGAGGTCAGACGATGAGTGTTGAACAAATGTCAATGAATCCTGCACATTTAAAATCCTATGGTAACCAATATTAATTATTGACATGGAGATGGCCACACGTGAAGCCATTGCAGTAAAGGGAGGTAAAGAAACAAGACAAGCCAAAAGCCTAATGCAAACAAAGTTGGTATAAGCAAGCACAAAGTCATTTCTTGAATCCTAAAACTGAAGAAATACGTGTTTATTTTGATGAGACACGTAACTACTTTGAAGATATTAATATTAACCTAATGGAGAGAACGCACAAGTGACAAAAAATAACGGAATCTAATCTAGTCATCGTTCCATGGATGTGACCTTGGGGTTTTGGTATCAAAATTTCAGGTCATTTTGCTATGATATTTACATTTCTCCCACCTCGGTTGTTGCGATGAAGTTTCTGTCTTCGGTGATTGATACCAAGTTATAGTCACAATATGATGAATATAGACCTTAAACATGTCACCATGAATGACACGCTTAAGTTGGTCATTTAAGTTAAAAATTGGAAGAAAAAAGTCAAGATTTTTGCTATGTAATATTGTTCATAATATTAACCCCTTTCTTGCCTCCCGTCCCTTGAGACATTAAAACTTTACATCTCTCATGGATCACTTTCTCTTCAACCAGAAAATCTCAGTGTGACCAGTGTGACCAATTAAACACGCAGGTCCTAAAAACACAAACCTAGTCCAAAAGACCCTGTTGACAACATTTACAAATTACTCCATCCACTAACTCAGGACAGTATACAATTGCCGAAATAAATTCGAAGAAAGAATAACACATCAACAAGAGCACGCGGTGTCTAGCACTAGGGACTCCATAAACTCACAAATCCATGTAACAACAAGAGGCCTTACCATTTGGAATGTCCTTGAGCTGCGTACCGTTGCCCTGAAACCCAGAGAGATTCATTCAGACGATCAAATCCAACAGTTGGTTATATTAATTCGACACAACAGAGAAGTGCAACATGAACTCTAAAAAAAACACCAAAAGTAAAACATACAAATTAACAGACCATATATTGCTGTATGTACCTTTTCAATTGACGAAGCTTTGAGAGAAGAAGACTTGTGAAACTTATCGGGCGAAGAAACAGTGTACCTATCCACCGTTTTCCTCTCCCTAGTTGGTCTCTTACTAGTTGGCGTAGCGTAACCGCTTTCTTCTGGTGACTTGCTAGACTTCGCTTCGTCACGCTCATCAGTCTCTTCTTCTACCTCGTCCTTTTCTTTTACGTTTCCGTTTTCGCTCACGTGGTTCTTCACCGGAGTGTCTTCTTGATCGGTGTGATTTTCCTCAGCTTGGACTTCTTCTTCCGCTTGTGGCCTCTCGTTTTCTAGGGTTTCAGAAGACATTGTTGAAAGAAGTTGAATTGCGAAGAGAGTGAATCTCTGAGCAGCGGAGAGGGAAGGGTGAGTTATGATTAGATCGGAAAGAATGGTAGGATTGTGATTGGAAGAGACAAATAGAGAGGGAAATGGTGAAATTAATTTGGAGGGAAACAAAACCGCGCTCTTTGGTTTTTCAAATTTTGTGCCAATTTTCTGAGCGGTGACATTCACCTTCTTTTCCTCACTATCAAAAAAAACGAAATATCAATAAATTAACCCTAAAATAATTAGAGACTAAAAATGGTTTCTGGAATGATTTAATTGATGTAACTATTTTTAAAATAATAGAAAATTATATATTTATAAAAAGCCAAATTATCTTATTATAATAAATTGGTTTAAATTTTATTATCATTAATTAAGAATTTTAATTTTATTATTATTATTATTATTATTATTATTATTATTTAAGATAAAACAGAACTTTTTTTCATTGTTTATTTCAGAAGAAAAATATAAAATAACTCTCCTTGCTTCACTCTAATTTCTTATTTGTATTTTATTTTTGTCAGTTTCCTGTTTTACATGTAATTCAAATAAAACAAAGGTAAATACAAAAAAAAAAAACGTGATGGGGATAATCCTGCTCAACTACAATTGTCTCTATACACACCACCCTTTCTTCTTCTAAAAATCTTCTTTTATCTTTTTTTTTTTTCACGTTTACACTCCAATACAGCATAAACAATTTTTTTTTTTGTATATAAAATTATAAAATATTCTTTTGACTTGTACTAATGTAAACAATATATAGTTTTCAAGAATAAAACTTAAAAGACAAATAAATTTTATAGTTTTAAATTTGTTTGTGAATTCAATTCAACCATTTTAAAAATAAATAAAATTGACTAAGTCACTTGTGTACTTAACTGTAAAGGTATATGTGGTGCATTTTTATTTCATTTTCAGTTCAAAAATATATTTAAAATTAATGTAAAAATTATATGTGGTTCAATTGAAACAGAATTTAAAATAAAATTAATTTGTTCAGTTTAATTTGGATCAATTTTGCAGTTTTATTGTATTTTTTAGTGAATATGTATTTGGTTTTGTTTTTCTTACATAAAGTTAAATGGTGAAAAATAAATTTATTGTATGCTCTAACATAATTAAATATTTGTTTTTTAAATATATATATATATATATATATATATATAATATTAAATAAGTTGCTTACACATATTCTCTTTTCTTTCTATTAACAAATAAAATATAAATACCTTATGAGTATCTACAATTTTACAACAAATAACAAAAAGACGGTTGTAGTTATGCTATGTTTATAAATTTTTACGTAAATATTAAATTAATTATAAAATTTGTCTATTTTGTATATTTCTCCCTCACCATTAGTAATCTAATGTTCACATTACTGAAATAATTATTCCTCCATCTAATTCATAATGTTAAATTAAAACTATTTGACTTACTCATCTTTCTTAATTCATAGACATAAATCAATTTGTGGTTAGATTTTTCTGTTACATACATATATCTTGTATATAAATACAATAATGAGTAATGTAATCACATTCATTTTCTACCTTTTTTATTTGTGTTAAATTTTGTAAAGAAAATTAATTCATTTATAGTTTTTATTTTGATTAATCCTTAAATTTATTTTATTTTTTCATTGTTTTGTATTTGAGTGTGTTTGTTTTATCTTTGATATTTATTGAGTGTATTTGATAAATTAATAAAAAGTATTTTGATTTAACAAAAGATGGAATATAAGAAAGCATGAAAAAAATGGTAAAATTAGGAAGTTAACAGGGATATGTATGAGATTGAGCACCATTTTTTTTTAGGTTGAGTGTGTAGCGACTAAGCACCAACTTTTTAAGATTAAGCTGATGAAGTTGACCATCGGGTTTTTGAGGTTGGGCCTTAGATGTTGCAGAGGCCAACTCGTTAGCAAACCAGATTACTCTTCCAAAAAGTTTTGATATCGATTTTTAAGTTTTCATGGGCAATAATTGAGTCTATAGACGAGAATATCAGGTTCAGTGTGCGAAATATGGATATTTAATCATGTTTTCACGAGGTTTTTTTGTCAGTTCTCTCTATTTTCACGACTAGAAATCACCTTAAGTGCTTGGAAGAGACCTTTAGAGGCGCTGATAAGCTTTCTCTAGTCTTTCGTGGGTCTCCTTTTTTCTTTTATGGTGTTTTTTCCATTTTGAGTTGAAAAGGATAGAAGCTAAGAATTGAAGATGGAGATGTGAAACAGAGACACGATTCAAGCATGAAACAATTGTTAAGAATATTGGGATAAAGCTTGTTTATTCCCTATTTTTAGTTTTTTTTTTCAAATTCTTCAATTTGTAAATCATATAGGTTTTTACCATGGAGATCTAAATATATTGTTGATATTAGATGTAATAAATTATTTTTTTTTGTATTTTTTATATTCATATTTGTGCTTTTTCATTTCAATGTTATTATTTGATTTATATTTTTAATATTTATTTTGACTTCATCACTTATGCTTTGATTACTGGTTCTTAACGTATTAAAAACTGTCTTTTGAATATAAAACCATAATTAAATACACGATGGAACTTGTATATGTGGATAGAACATTATGCACTAATAATCTTAGACTATTAATCTTAATACAAGTTTTATTGTTGAGGATTTAAGGAATTGAAATTTCATGAGTATGATAGGTTCAAAGTCACTATGAACATGATTTGAATACATTTGTGAATTGATTTTGACTTAAAATTATAATCGAGATATATGTGCATGCATAAGAATTAATTGGATAAAATATAATTTTTACAACTGTAAATATTCTGTTAAATTCAAGGTGCACACCAATTATATGATAAAAATACAAAAAAATTATTTATCTTTTCGTGAATTTGTATGTTTAATTTAGATGTGGATTGTAATAATTGTCATGTGTTACATAAATTATCTGGAAAATAATATTTGTTATGTTGTGACCGATGCACTTATTATTTTGCACTAACATAACACAATCACTTGTTGCTCAAGTAATCATACACCCTCGATTACACGAAAGTTTTCTCACTTAATAAATATCATGTTACATTAGTGAAATACCTTTTGGTGTTCAAAATATTTGTTTTTGAACAACGATGATTAATAAGTGTAATATTAAAAACTAATTAGATATCACTTTAAGTGATGAGACATTATTTATGCGAAATTCAATTCGGGATACTCGTTCTTAATAAAACAACAAAACTTCAATCATAAAAATACAATACAATTTAATACATATCATAATTTACACGCACAATCAAAGACACGTATACCCTCCCATTCAGATACAAACCTAGTCATCACATTCTTCACAAATGTGAACAAAAACTTATTATATAGATATATAATAATTCATTTTGTATAAATGTTTCAAACTTGAGTTTTAATTCTAAATGTAGTAAGTTAGAATCCATAAAGGTTGCAGTAGTGGGCATTAACAAAGCCAATTTTTACGTGTAGTTAAATGCATGGAGTGAATGATTTCACATTTATATTTTTGTGGTCCTGTTTTTGTTTTCTAATTCAACCCAACAATGAAAAGCCTAAGCTAAAGACCAATGCCTAACTCTTTACCAATAATATTCATTTTTTTTTTAGAATTTTGGATTGATTTATTATGTTGAAACAACTCCACCTAACTCTTTACCAATGAACATGAATATACGTTGAAAATTATAACAGACGGAAATTTATATATGTCGTAATTATCTCTAACTCATAATAGACGTAAAAAAATATAAAATAAATATTTTTTGTGTTAGTGAAAAACAAAATATTATGTTAACGTGTAGAAGCAAGTTTTAAATTACATTGTGTGTTAACAATTGTTGTATAGGTTGGTCTTGAATTTATGCACCATCTTCTAACTTTATAAATCTAAAATTGGCTAGTTACCTAACCCATGGTAAAATACTATAAGGTATGGTAATAAGTAGTGTTTTTCCAAATAAGACCATTCAAAAATTTCATTTTAATTACTGCAAAACATACTATTAGAAATGTACAATTTGTCTTTTAGAACATATAATTTGTAATATCATATATTTTGCAAACCCCAAAATATATTTTGGATTAAACTATTTGGAAGACTTCCAAATATGAAATATGAAAAAAAAGGTTGGGAACCACCGGTGACACTCTAAGTGTTCATAACATCTCAATTATCCACTCACACGACATAATATCATAGTCGTTTCTCCAATACGTCATTTGTAAATTTTTTACTTTTCAGTAATCTTTTATTTTTTTACTTTAAATACAAAAACAAGAAAATTTCACACTTTAATTCCAATTCGTATTTTTAAAGTTTCACACGTTAAAACTTGTGTATTTATCCAAATAAAGTTTGAAGACTGAAAAACAAGTAAATCTTAAAAAAAAAGAGTACAAATGAAGTTGAAAATATAACGTTTAAAAACGAAAGATGTACAAATATTTACAAAAGAAGTATCCAAACTTACATAACATTTCACCTTACAATAAAGTAAACAATAAAAATAATAGCAATAAAAAAATATTAAATCCATCCTTCGTCCATCTCTCTTTTCACCTTCATTTTTTTTTGTATTTATCATAATTTTTTATGTCGTATTATGTTAAATTAATTCAAATTCATATTTGACAAATCTCAATTATTTTGGTATTATTTTAATTGTATTTGTGGTACAAGTAAATGATAAACATGGTTAGTGAAAGTTATTTAGAAAGTTTAAGAATGACTTAATTTTAATATCATTATTTGACGTTAAATTTATAGATAATCATAAATGTTAAAGTAAAACTCTTCCTACAAAACATAACCACATACATGTTGATGTTTTGTTATATACTTCAAATAACATAGTGATGTGAGATGTTCACATACATATGTAGATAATGTCATATTTAATATTTTTTTTATAAAAAAAGCTTAAACAAATAACTTTTTTTAAATTTTTTTAATTAAATAACAAATGTATGTGAACAAAAGGAAACGAAGAGTAGGAAGAAAAGGAAACAAAATGGTACCTTTGAAAAAATTGGAGGTGTTAGGCCCAACTTTAGGAGCGAAAACGAAAAACCAGAGTTTTCAATCCCTCGCGCGCTGGAGAGTGGAGTAGAGAGACCCAATTCC